GGTTATCCAACATTTTCTTAAAAACTTCCAGTATTGCAGCATTCACAATGTATGGAGGCAAGCTGTTCTACTAGTTAATTGTTCTAACTATCAGGAAATTTCTCCTCAGTTCTAAGTTGCTTCTCTCCTTGATTAGTTTCCACCCATTGCTTCTTGTTCTACCCTCAGGTGCCTTGGAGAATAGTTTGACTCCCTCTTCTTTGTCGCAGCCCCTGAGATATTGTTCTTGATTGGATGATATTTAAATGTCAGAAAAAGCAATTCAGTGGCAAAATTAAGAGCTGGTTTGGTATAGTAGTTAAAGCACCAGGCTAGAAACCAGGAGACTGTGAGTTTTACTTAGGCTGGGTGACTTTGGGCTAGTCACTTTCTCTCAGCCCAACTCACCTTGCAGGGTTGTTGTTATGGGGAAAATAGGAGGAGGAAGGAGTATTAGATATGTTTGCCACCCTGAGTCATTGGTAAAAATAAAGATAGGACACACACACACACACACACACACACACACACACATACAATTAATCTGGTCAGTTTTTTTTTTACTTTGACAGATTTTAGTCAATGATACTACTGAGTAGCATGCTAGCAACATTTTTCACTTTTGAAAGTATATAAGCAAACAACAACCAAATTTATCAACTGCCTTCATTGCATGGTTAAGGAACCAGAAGATAAAAAGATGACATTCAGTATTGTGAAAGGAAATCACTGAACATGCAACACTTTTTAAACTCGCCTTCATTCTGTAAACTTCCTAGGCCCTCAAATACTTTCCTTAGAGATTGAGAAATGAAGCTTGAGTTTGAAAAAGCAGATTTTGAGCATGTAGGAAAACATTTTTCACCTTATTCTTAGTCCCCTCAAGAAACCACTCTACTAGATCTCACCAAAAGTTTTTATATTCAATGACAGAAACAAAAACAATTCTAAAAGATTAAATTGGAAGTTCATACTTACCTCATCAAAATTGCGCAAATAATATGAGACAATATATGACAGAAGACTCCTGCTGTTATCCTGTATAAGATCAAAATTAAATAGCATTTATATATGAAATATATTGACATTGAGACTGAATAATTTGTATTTGTATACATTTGGAACACAATTAGTCCTCAGATAACAACAATTCATTCAGTGTCCGTTCTAGGTTATGATGGTGCTAAATGAGGGGACTCATGACCAGTCATAGTAGCTGCTGCTGTCATGTGATTATGGTTTGGGTGCTTGGCAACCAGCTTGGAATTCTGATGAATTGCAGCATGAGGAGTCCTGGTGGTGCAGTGCAGGGATGGGTTGCTGCTGATGTTACTGCCTGTTCACAACCTGCACGCCATGTGCATGTGACATACATGCGCTGCGCGTGTGACATATGTGTGCTGTGCATGCATGGACTATTCAATGTAAATTGTTCTGCATGCATGCGCAGAACAATTTACAGCAAATTGCGCACGCACAGTCACTAAAATCCAAAATGGCAGTGACCAAGAGGCAAGGGAACCAGTTTGGGGGCGTAGCAGGTCTGGGATGCTGCCGGTTCTGCGACCAAGGCTTGAATTCCACTACTGGTTCGGCCAAACTGGGCCAAACTGGCAGCAATCCACCTCTGATGCAGTGGCTAGAATCCAGTATTGAAGGCTAACTCTGCTCACAGTCTGGAGTTCGATCCAGATGGCCTCTAGATTAACTCAGGATTTTCTATCTTCCCGAGGTTAGTAAAAGGAGGATCCAGAATGTTAGGGGCAATATGCCGGCATGGTAAACCACTCACATAGTACTGTAAAATACTATGGAGGGGTATATAAGTCTAACATGATATCACATGTTGTGATCTTCACTGCCAACTTCCAACCAGCAAAGTCAATGATGAAACTGGCAGGAGTTCTCAAATGGAAATCATGTGACAATGTCTTAACCAAAATGAGGAATTCGTTTAACAACTGCAATCGGTATTGCTGGAGCTGCTGTTGTAAGTTGGTGCCATACTTTATGAGATCGCTTAGTGATAGAGTTGCCAGTCCCAGTCATCATAATTAAGTGAGGACTACCTGTGTTATGCAAGAAAGCAATTGAAATGCAAATGTGGAAGTGAAAATAAAATCAAAAGCCTTCCATGCATTTATGCAACACATAATAGAGATTTTTTAAATATAACTTTTAAGATAATTTAATAATTTTATTTTGTTAAGAGTGTTAGAATTCTAACAAATGGTAAATGAAAAGATCCTCCCCTTTGTGAGCTTTACAAATGATTTTTGTTCGGTTTGTAAAAAAAAACTTATGTTACTGAAATATAAAAAAGGAATATATATGGTAGTAGCAGGAAGATTATTTAGATGTTATATAAATTCATTATTAAATGGAACATTTATGAAATTTTAAAACTACTGAATATGTTAATTATTTCAATATTAATAATAGAAAAATTATCAGAATTTTAGAAGTTGTAATCCAATGTTTTAGCAATAAGCAAGATTTTGATAGATTAATTTGTCAGGTTTGGATTTTTTCCCTATGAACAGAAGTTTATTTTAATCTATTTCACTATGAATTTACAAATTTGGAAGAAAAAAATAGCACAAAACTGATTGATCATTTTTACATCTCCTGGTACATCCTTTTTAATGCTCCCCCCACCCCCAATACACATACATATAATCCTCAACTTAACACCACAATTGAGCCCAAAATTGTGGGCTCCATGAGAAATTTGTTGAGTTATGCCCCATTTTATGATTTTTCTTGCAACATTTGTTAATCGCTGCATTTGTTAAGTTAGTAATACGGTTGTTAAGTGAATCTGGATTCCCCATTGACTTTGCTTGTCAGAAGGTCACAAAAGCTTGATCACATGATCACTGGACACTACAACTGTCATAAATATGACCCAGTTGTCAAGCACCCAAATGTAAATTACATGACCATGAGGATGCTGCAATGGTCATAAGTGTGAAAAATGATGTCATGTCAATTTTTTTCAGTCATTGTAACTTTGAATGATCACTAAACAAAGTATTTTAAGTTGAGGACTACCTATATTTTCTGCAAACATTTTGTTAGGCTTTGAAATACAAACTACAAAAATCTGTAATTCCAATTTATAGATAGACATTAAGAATGAAAATTGTGTAACATCAATTTGTTACACACCATTAGTACCCAAGAGTTACTACAAGACTAAATAACATAATAACATGTTTTATCTCTACATTTGGAGATTCCTTCCTCCCTCCCTCCCTCCCTTCCTTCCTTTCTTTCCTTCCTTTCACTTTCACTTCCTTCTTTCCTTCTCCTTCCTTCCTTCCTTCCTTTCCTTCTTTCTTTCCTGCCTTCCCTCTCTCCCTTCCCCTTTTTTCTTTCTTTCTTTNACACAAAAAAAATTGTACTTCAATGTTTTAATGATTGACAAATGATGACATATTTGTGTTTTTTTTTTAAAGAAAAATAAAAAAGTTCTGTTAAAGAAAATGTGCATCAACACCAACACTCCTAGTCACACCCACATCTTGGGTCCCTAGCAGTCATGCTTTTTTTTGATGCTATGCCTGCACTTTGATATAGCCTTCAGGGGATCCAGCTGGCCCCAACCCTATGGTCCTTTTACAAGGTGCATAGGATTTGGGTTGGGAGGAAAGGCAAGTCCCATTGTCTTATTGCTTTATTTTAGTGCCTTGAAAGAGAATGGTATTTTTTTTTTACCTCAGGAGAACATTATAGTAGAGTTGCTTATGGATTTTATGAAGTATGTCATTGTTTTTTATTTTAATCTCTGTACACCACCCAGAGTCACCTTTGTGAGGTGAGCAGCTCTACCACTCAAATTGTTTGTAAAATAAGTTAAGGTAAGCTAAGCTAAATTAAACTAAACACAACACCCTGGAAATCATTCAGTACACATCCTTCATTTATTAGGGCCATTATCCCTTTAAATTACTTTTTTATTAGTGACTCATTAATCATAGACATTAAGTTCACAACCCTAACTCTGATTGATAGAGAAGTCTTGGGTTTATAAAATCAAATCCATCTCCTTCATCTCTGGTCTGAGCCAGAAGTGATTTTGGCTATGCTGATCACATTATCCCATGTCCCTTGGAATAATACATCAGAGGAGGGACGGCCAATTTAGTGGTAGAAATAGTACTACACTTTAAGACTTCCAATACACTAATTGTAGGGTTGATCCTGGAATGATAAACCTTACTAATAACCTTTCATTATTACACAGGCATTTAATATCAGAAAGTGCTGATATAATGTTTTTGCAAGTGTTCCACATTCTAGAGAGAGATGTGCTGCAAAATTGAGAAAGAGACCTCCCTTTCTACTAGAGCTCTTTAGAAATTGACATTTGATGCAGGATAGGTAGCCTATTTCTGGCTGAGATAAGACTAAAAGATTCAAAAGAAAGGGAGATGAGTTGTCAGGAGAGATCATTCATTGTTTTTAAAAGCTATTTTATGAATTCAACCATTTAAATCTATTTGATTATATGATCAAGCTCCCAAGATTACAGATGGCTTACAAATGTCTACATAATGTATACTCTAAAGTATAATGATTAAGAGTACATCTCTCATACAACATTACTAAAAAACTGCTTTCCAAACTGAACATCAAATGAAGCACTAATAATTACTTCCCAAATGGCTACTGAGAAAAGACTGCTTTGACAACCATGAAAGCTTAAAAAAAGAGCATCTCTGCTAGAGATTAAAGCTTTGGGACTATGACTAAGAATGACAATTTTAGGGTGTACATTCCATCTAGTTTTTAATTCAGGAAGGCAGGTTTTAACTACAGGAGATTTTCCTTAACTTTAATCCTATACAGCAGTGTTTCTCAACCTTGAAGTGGTTGGACTTCAACTCCCAGAATCTTTAGTTCCTAGTTCTAAGGAGAGAAGCAATTTAGAACTAAGGAGAAATTTCCTTACAGAACAATTAATCAATGGAACAACTCTCTTCCAGAAGTTGTGAATGCTCCAACACTGGACGTTTTTAAGAAGATGTTGGATATCCATTTGTTGAAGTGGTATAAGGTTTCCTGCCTAAGCAGGGGGTTGGACTAGAAGACCTTGGACTAGAAGACCAAGGTCCCTTCTAACTCTGCTATTCTATTCTATTCTAAATTCTTCAGGCAACTTGAAGTTATTTACCTTTTTAATAGCAACTTTATGCTGCGTTTCAATTTTCATACATTTGTTCATTTTCATTCCCAAAACCTATTTTCTGGTCAGACACTGCTATCACAATATTATTTTAATCCAATTCCCAAAACAAAAACTAATTTTAGCCACTATATTTACCATGTATTTAATATCTACTGTATTCATAAATATCACACACACTCACAAAAGTGTTGATATTTTGCTCCGCTATGTATTTGCTTTTGCTGTATTATGGTAGTTCTGCTATTTTTAAACCCTGTTTATCCAGTATGAACAATTGCTTTTGGAGTTTTGGACTGAATCACCAGTCTTGGTTTCAATCCTTGGGGACCCAGAAAATGAGGGCCTGCCTGCCTATATAATGGAAATCAAAGTTTAGGGAAAGTGTCTAGAGCCAAAGGTATTAATTTTGACAGCTGGAAAAAGTTAGTATATTTTATATCAGCTTTCTTGGCAGGAGACATCCCCCCTCTCATTCTTTCTCTCAGTCTCTCTCATTCATTCTCTCTCTCTTTCTCTCTTATATAGTATTACATATCTATAATCCTTACAATAGGCCGTTAAGACCTGCCAATATTACCATTCCCATATTAGCATTAGCATACTGGAGAGAAGGGTAAGGCTTAGAAACACAACTAGAGCAGGACACACAATTCTTCATGTTTGTGGGCAGAGCAATTGGGTGGATGGTTTAGCCTACAATTTCTCCAAGGTGACCTCGCCTCCCATCGTTGATAACTGCATTGAAAGGTGGGATGAATTCCTCCAAAAACTTCTCCTGGAATTTAACTGATGCATTGGAAATCAAACAGAATGTGCACCACTGAAGAGATATTTCTAAAATAAA